TGCCACCGCCCGCCAATGGCGTTGTGATATTCCTTCACTGGTCGAACATGGAATTGGCAAGGCTAGTCGGACAGCTGCGTTTTCCCACAGCAAATATGTTTTACGAGGATTGTTGACAGCAGGTTGGTAGTTATCCGTCCAAGAAAAAATATTCCTCAGAATGCTGACTTGCAGAGCGCATTCCGAGGCAAACCTAATAATGGTTCAACCCGACACTAATACTGTTGAGACACCTTGAGCCAAGAACTTGAAGCTGCATTGGTGCACATGGCGGCACGCTGGTGTCCTTGACATGATGTCTTAGCAGTTATCGGTAAGCAAGCAGACCGGTGAAGAGGCAAAAAAACAAGAACAAATCTTGCCTTTCAGTGTTGAATTCTGATTGAACTATATCCCCCTTTCCGCCAACTGCGTCATCAAATTCAAGCCCTGCTGTTTCAATTGCTAGCTCTAACATCAACGAACTTCCAACACAATCTTCTGTGTAGTGACGTTAAGTGTAGCGACGTTAGGTTATAGAGGCTGCATCGCCATTCGCTGCTATGATTGAAGCTGGATAATTATGCGAAAAGTCCGAGCGCACTGTCTTTTTGGCCACTCAAGATTTGTTGATCCGATCATTGTGGGCCAAGAGATCTACGATGGCAGTGAGACCTGCCAGATGTGGGGCTCACCGGGAAACCTCACCAGCTGGCTGGCATTTACGATTCAAAATTGAGGCCAGGGGAGAAGATGTGCAAGTGGATGCCCGAAAGTTAAAGTGTTGGAAGAATGTGTTTATTCATCTGCTGCCAGAGACCAGCCTCCTATGGGAGAAAGCCGGGGTATAGTTGAAGAGAAACTAGAACACGCTTAGAAAAGTAAAGGACCGGATAACCACAGGAAAGAGAAAGGAGATGGTGGAAGACAGATTGCGTAAAAGAGTTGTGAGTGACAGAGTTGTGTGCTAAAGAGTTGCGTGGGACAAATTTTTGTGTGTGATAGGGTTTGTGTGAAAAAAATTGTGTGTGAAAGAGTTGTGTGTGTGTGAGAATGCTGTGTGAAAAATATATGTGTGAAAGCGGTGTGTGTGTGTGAAAACCATCTGAAAAGATGTAAAACTTCTATGCTGGCTTTTGCGCTTGGTTTTCGGTTTTGGTACTGTATTACTCGTGTCTCAATAGTCTCATGTCAAGTTGCACGGGGATGGAGAGGACATATGAGGCTCCATCCAACGAAGCTCCTCATATGCTCCCAGGATATCACCAGGGACGCCTGGTGACGTACCTGCAGAACAATTTCAGTATGTTTCGTCAATGGCAGCCGGCTAAGCCTAGAAACGGCATGACGTCAGTTTTGAATTTCTGCAATTTTCAATGCCAATTTCAGTTCCTGTACCGTTTTCGCAATCTGTCAAGTTGGGAGCGATATGGCTTTGTTGAGAGGGAAGGGTCAGCTTCCAATTCACCCTCATTTGCACTGGCTATGGCGATGGCAGCTTTCCACTGTTTTTCGGGTCCTCTCAGCGACCTACCGATTGTTTTTGCGCGTAAGATGCACTCCACAACAAAACTCGCAATGACAGTTCTGAGCAAGTGTGTGACTCATGCTGGATTCGTCAAGGTGGCATGAACCCTTCGGGGAATACATTTCTAGGTAGGAATTCTGATCCTCCGACTTGATTTCTGAATTTACAATTTTCAACCTGGTAATTCGTTTAAGTAAAGTGAAACAGTTGGCCTTTTTTCATGGTTTCACCTGTCGCTCGTCGTGGTGTTGAACAGCTGCCCGCTGTACTGGGGACTCACTTCTTTGACCGCCAGCTGTTGCATTGCTGTCAAATCTCACGACTGGAAACCTCCTTTTTCAGTGCTGCTCGAGTGATTATCACGCAGGTGGTAGTGCATTCCTCATGATCTTGCAGGTATCAGGACATGCTTGCAGGTATGGTGTTTTTTCCTTTTTGTGGTCGTTGCTACGGCTTAATTGTGCACCAATTCGAGGGGTGAATTCGTCAGCGGTTTACAGGGTTGCGACTTGACAGCAGAGGGCCTTTGAGCCTGATCACGATCCTTTGCAATGGTTTTTGGATGCATCACTTTGTTTAAACTGTTGCATAAAATTTCCCTGACTTACCTACTGCCAGCCATGTTTCCAAACCCGTGGAACAAAGTTTCCAGCCATGTTGAAAAAATATGTGTGAAAGCGTTGTGTGTGTGTGTGTTTGACAAAAAGTTGTGTATATATGTGTGTGTGCGGGGGGGCAAATTGTGTGTGAAGGAGTTGTGTGTCACAAAGTTGTTTTTGGATTACTTGTGTGTGACGGTGCGGTGTGTCAAAAAGTAACGAATCTCATCACGGATACTGTTGCCAAGAACCTGCTAGTTTCCAGCGGGGACCAAGGAGCCAGCCCAGAACCGTAAGTGCCGCGCCTGCCAGACATGTTACAGAATCCGAGCGTCAATGTCACGAAAAGCGTCAGGCCTGCCACGCAAAAACCCGCGAGGCCAGCGGGGATCGAGGCGGGCCGCGTGAAAAGCCAGTGCCGATGCATTTCGGGTTTTCATGTGTATCTGGGTTTTTCACCTTTTTTGCTTGGACCAAGTCTTTGCTTGGAGCAATGCTTTGGCACTATGATTTCTATTGCGTCATCAGCTTGGATAAACCCCAAATGATACCACTGGAGTTCGGGAAAGATGTAGTGAAATGGTTGCATTGGAGCAAGCCTCGAGCCTTTTTTTGCTTTGCAGGGCTGTATCTGTGACAGTTCAAGAGGGACAGTTTATCTCGCGCAGATGCATACTAAGAGGAAGCTGCGATATAGTGAGTATGGTGTTACACTATTGCTATATTTCTATCTTGGGTTTAAAAAAGCAGCCTTAACTAAAATTGAACCTAAGATGAACACGTTTTGGGCAAAGCGGGATAAATTGGGATAAGATCTTGGCCAACTGAGCCACCTTAGCTCTTTGGTCCTTGCGTTCGGGTTTATGATGAGAAAAGAAACGTGTGCAGACATGGGAATGTGAAGCGCATGCAATGCTTTCCATGTTCCATGGCTCATCCCGAAATAACTTCCACAATTTCAATCTTTCGCAGATTATCTTGCATTTTTTGGGGAAAAACCACCATGTTGTTGCCATTGGACACGCCCAAATATAGAGAAACAAAGCAAAGATCTAAATGGGGATGCCGCAAAATGAGGCCGCCAATGAGGCGCCCTTTCTGTGCTTTTTAAGTGGGGCTTTTGGAACCAAAAAGGGCACCTCATTTCCGAGGCATACCCCTGCACTCAACTTTCCATGTTTGAAGGAAGTCTCGTAGAATTGCTTCGTTTTTGATGTTGTCAACTTCGAAAAATGAGGAAGTCTCGCAGAATTGTTTTGTCTTTGACGTTGTCAAGTTCAAAAACTGAAGAAGTCTCGTAGAATTGCTTCGTTTTTGATGTTGTCAACTTCGAAAATGGAGGAAGCCTTGCAGACTAGCTTCGTTTTCAAGCTTGCAGGTACACAGACAGATAGATAGACAGATAGACAGCTACAACTACAACTACATTACTACTACAACTACAACTACAAAACCATGTACAAATATATTGCGCTACACTACACGATAGAATGGAAAAATTGCAAAACGCATTGGTACGACACGCATTGGAAGGTGTTTCAGGCCAGATTCAGACCAGTTTCAGACCTCTTTTGGGCCTGTCTCTAGGCTATCTCAGCTTCCAATATTTATTTGAATACTTGCTTTCCAAAACGGCCGTGTTGGAAATCAAAAAGCTCCAAGGTGAATTAGGAGAATGTAAGCTCATTTCCCCAAAGGAAAGTGTGCTAAAATAGAGGTGTCGACTGCCCTCTTCCAATATTTGTTTGAGTATTTGATTTCCAAAACGGCCGTTTTGGAAATGAAAAGCCCCAAGGTGAGTTAAGAGAATGTAAGCTTATTCCCCCTAAGGAAAGTGTGATGAAATACGGGCGTCGACTGCAAAACCTCCCACATACACACATACACACACACACATGGGCAATGTGTCTGAGATGGAGTATATTATTGTCGAATACATCGCCAATGCAGGCCAAGCCGGAACCCCCCAAGACCGGACAAAGGGCAATCGAACGCCTCCGTCACCAAATTGACTAGCTGACTAGCGTAAGACTTGGGCGACTCTGGGGCCTTTCCCCACACCAAAGCCTCACATTCGCCAGTAGACCACTTCAGGGTAGCCTGCTGGAAATTATCCGGGCAAGCGATCGCAAGCAGTTTGCGCACAAGTGTCCTCTCTGATTGCTGGTTGTGCTTTCTATATCTTTCTATGCCCTCTAAGTGCTTCCCATGTCTCTAGGCTCTAGGTATGCTTTCTATGGGTGCTCTCTGAGCGTGACCTCCAAGTGTCTTATTGCTCTGTCCCTCTCCAGTTGTGCTCTTCAAGATCTTCAAGTATGCTCTTCAAACATGCTCCTTCGCGCTTTAGTGGTTTCTACGTGCGCTTTCCAAGTGTGCTCTGCATGTGTGCTCTTTCAGCTGATTTTCTGCGTGTGCTCTATCAGCGTGCTCTGTAAGAGTGCCTTCTACATGTGCTCTTTGGGGGGGTGCTCTGCGACTTGCAGTTCCGGTCCAAGCAGTCTACACAACCTGCCTGCCCCACATCTCTGGACTTGGAGCTTCAAACCGTCCCAGGCGCAGTTCGGGAGGAGTTTATCAGGATATATGTGTGTCTCTCTCTCTCTCTCTCAAAGGAAACGCTTTCTCCAGGTTGAGTGACTGCCATCCCCGTGCACATGTCAAGTTTCAGGAAGCCCCTTCATTTTTTCCTTCGCAGCATCGGCAAATGATTGGAAAAGGTAGCCATAGTCCTTGGAACACTTCCACACGGCACATGTTCCTAACCACCCACCACCTGGATCGGGTCTTTGAGACCCATTGAGTGCAAGCAAGTCGCGATCCAGACCTAAGTTCGGTGACACATTTTGCTTGTTTCAATTGGATCCAGGTTCCACATGAGAATCTGCGAAGTAAAATCATAGGCGCCCTGCATCACGCTTGATGAGCGTAATGATGCATCGTTGGTCCGCCTCCTTGTCAATCAGCCCGACCTGCCCGAATGTCTTTCCACAGCTCCCTCCAGAGGCAGCTGATTTTTCACGTGCACAGGTGAGAGCGCCTGCAGCATCGGCAGCTGTGTAAAGGGACACCTCCAACACGGCTCAAAAAAAAAAACACGCCATCCCAGGCCTGATGTCAACTGTCACGTCCTTGGCCTGGACGTCATCTGGAATTGGCACGAAGACCTCCGTTCGCATTGCAGTAATTTATTCACAACCGAACCCCTTGATGAATAATTCAAGTATGAATCGATATGAACGTCGTCACCTGTAACAAATCATAGCGACAAAAGAAAAAATACTTCGCAAGAGAAAGGAATTCATGGTTCGAGGAGTCCAAAGTCAAGACATGAAGTCAACATAGGAAGCGTAGGAAGCGACTTCCTTGCGTGGCAGACCGGTACTGCAGATTTCATGAGACAAAAAGGACAATAAGAGGCCAATGTGAATGCCAGGAATGCCATGCCAATTTGACGCAGAACTCCAGAAATCTGTCGACCTCTCAGCAACTCCGGTTCGCATGCCTTGATCCGAGGATGTAAGCTAAAGCAGCTAGATATGGCTAGATCCTACCTGCAGAGTATCGGTGGAAGCCGAAGCTAAGCCGAGCTTAAACCAAAAAAGGTAAACAAAACAGACTGAGCCAATAAGACCACCATCCACAAACATAAAAATCAGAAGTTTTGGGCATTGAGCTGATGACTCCGACGCTATAGGACATCCCTGGTGTGCCACAGTGCGTTTTCATCGTCTGACCGTCTTACCGTTTTTCTTTAGCCTTGCGCGCTACGCAAATGTCGCAATTCATCGTTGGTTTCCAGCTAAGCAAAACACTGCCAGGGTCATATCTTCAGTATCGTGCGGACACTCGACACATCTCGACACTGTTTATCTAGACTTGCGAAACTGACGCGAAAAGGCATCCTCACTTATTGGGTGGGATTCAAAGAGGTTCAAGCGTGAGACAGCCTCAAATTCTGCTGGAATCTGTCAGTACTGTCCATCCCCGCTTGACAAATGCAACATATGCAACCGCCTTTCGAATTGTGCTGTGCTGTCTCTGGGCAGTTTCGCAGGCACTGACTCACTGACTGCAGCCTCAACTCTGTAAAGAGGACAAACAGCTTCTTCAATCACGAAACGTCAGATGTGTCTGGGAAATTGTGTCTAGTTTCTTTGATTTTATTCTCTCAGCACTCTTTGCAAGCAAGCAGCTCCGAAGCTAATTTCATCTGACTGCCTCAGGTGCTGGAACACTGAAGCCCACACTCCATGTCAATGGCTGAGGCCTAAACACCTGAGTCATCTCCATTTCCTGGGTGGAGGACCGTCTTTCGGTTTAAAACATGTAAAAGAATGCAGTGTCTTTTTACTGGTTTCCATGCGGCACAGAAGACCTGTGGGCTCATCATAGCATACAAACTGTGCTGATACTCCTACTATCTCCTACTTGCTACTACTTCTCCTCATGCTACTGTTGCTGCTAAAACTGCTACCACTGCTAAGGAGCAGCAGCAGAAGCGACAGCAGTAGCAGCAGCTCCTGGGAGGAAGATGACTAGTAGTGGCGGCAGCAGCAGCACGGAGGCAGCGGAGGCAGCGGAGGCAGCAGTAGTAGCAACGGGAGTAGCAAGGGGAGTAGCAGTACGAGGACCAGAAACATTCAGAAACAGTATTAGGATAAAAAGAAGCATTAGGTTCAGCATGAGTCTTTCTTCAACGAGAAAGGAGTATGGATCAGGGGTATGGATCAAGGGTATGGATCATGCAGTATCATGGGGTATGGATCAAGGTATGGATCGGGGGGTATGGATCGTGTGTGGGTCCGGGGCCTTGATCCATACCTTGTATTTTGTTCTCGACCGGGGCCTGGGTGGGACTGGGACTCCATGGTGAAGTCGTGAAGTTCCAACGTGTGAAGTTCACTTCGCTGCTCAGTGCTATGACATGACATGTCTCCAGTATTTACCTATGGTTTTCTAATGGTTTTCCCAATGGTTTTACCAATGATATATATCCAGTGATATGAATATGATACGAATATGATTTTTCCAATGATTCATTGGTTTACCATAGTGTCCCATATCTGTCTCCACTAAGCCACCGTTCTGAATCTTTCTGTATCCATGTGCTTCTCGAGATTCGACATCATCGCAACGAACGCAGGAGATCTAGCAGAGCCTGCAGCCATTGGCATCTCTTTCCCCGTTCATTTCTCGGTTGTGTCTCATTCTATTCTATTCTGATGTATTTCCAACTTGCTTTCAGTTCTATTCCCCATCTACTTACAATTTATGTGCCGCTCCCTTTTGATCTTTCCCAGATTCTTTCATGCTTGCTCGATTCGATCTAGCATAAGTGTGGCCTCTCAAATGTCAGACTTTGTGACGCTCTCAATTGCTACAGTAGGCTTAGAGTTGTGCTCATTTAAAATCTGTTAACCCTGTTGTTTGAACCACCGGGAGTTGACAATAGTTGCCAAACCAGCTAGGCCAAAGTCAACCAAAAACAGTGACGATGTCACATTCTCAACAACTAAAGGTTGAACATCCGCGAAAATTGACATCCCGCCAGTCAATATCGTGCCAATATTGAATGGGTTTGGGATGGTTCAGGGCCAAACCATACCCCTCCCCTTGCTCTTGTGCAGGACCTGCCGTTCTGCATGAGGGAAGCGATGGTGCTCCACATGTACCGCAGGCAAAGCTTTCCAGCACCTCACCAGATCAGCAAGAAAAGTCCCGAAACAGGCCTGATTGGTGTGTTGATGTTGATTGATGTTGATTGCCTGATTTTGCCTGATTGTGCCTGATTGGCAGATTGATTTTCTGGTGTTTGGCCAATGTTCCATATATATATATGAGACATGGGCTCTGCTCGGTATCCTCCGATTCGACCTCAGCTGACAACATGCAACGACCAGGAGGTCACTTCCCCGTGTCAGTGCCCCCACGACGTGACACGACCCGGGCAACACACCGGCACCGCGGTGATGAAGGTTGGACCTGTGCATAGATTCACTGCTGAATAGTTCTCAAGATTTCTCAGGGACATCAAGGATATCATAGATATCATGGATAGGTTAGTCAAAGGCTTTGACCTCTTGGAGACAGTTTTTTTGGGGAATAGGTTCATTGGATTCATTGATGTCATTGCTGAGTTGCACCGCAAGTTGTGCTCGGTTCCAGGCGCCACATAGGCAAGGATATCTTTCGCCATGGGATCTGCGAAGGTCCCGACCTACTGTAGACAGTCCCACAGGCCCAGATCAGCATGGAACTCCATGGTCTGGTCCTGTGCCTCCATGATTCTCCGACTCTTCGCACGCGCATCTTCGAGCCAGGCCTGTATCACTGTGTATCACTGTGACAGGATGACAGCATGACGGGACTCAGCAAGTGCCCAGGGCGACCTTTTCAGGACCAAATCCCACATTGGACAGGAAGTTCCGGACAAAGAATGGGCCTCCAAGGATCAAGAACACGATACAAGATGCTTGAATGATCTTGAATCTGGAAACTCTGGATCTGTTGCACCATGCATTCCATATCTCATCTGTTTCACCTTTGAAATGCAATTTGCGTCATGCATCTTTCTGTATCTTCATGAAGTCTTCATGGTCTATCATGTTCAGGGCCAAATCTGGGCGCCTAAGCTGGATTGCCGCTCCAGAAAGGGATCCCGAAGGACCATCTGCCAAAATCAGCTGGAAATGTTGCAATATATCTGAAAATATCATAGTACAAATGATAGTATATCAGCAATACCCTCTGGTTATGACTAACGGTTTGCCATGGAAAATCACCATGCATTTTAAATAGGTAAACCATCTCTTTCGATTAGGGCCATCGAAAAACCATGGCGAACTGTTAGTCATAACCAGATGGTATATCTGATAGTAGATCAGCAATAACAAACCGAAAATCATATCAGCAATATATCTGAAATCCCAATATACTGCTAAATATATTGAAATCCTATCAGATATACTGAAATATATTGGGATTTCAGATATATTGGGATGGTATATCTGAAATCCCAATATATTGCTGCACCATGCTGCAACCGCACCTCTCCACCGAGGTCCACTTGAAGGATTTCCCCCCTGGTCGCGGAATGGCACGGAGATCAAGGCACATGGGGCCGGCCCATGTAACTGTGCCAGAAAGATCCGCAAAGCAACCTGACTTTAGAGTAATTCAATAAAATATTTCAGTAAAATATTTCAGTGAAAATATTTCAGTAAAATTCATATTTCCTATTTTTAAGATTGTTTGAGGGGACTCTAAAAGGCCAACTGCTTTCAGCTATGGGACGTTGCGCCTTGTCAAGGCCATAAGGCTCATAAGGCTCCGTGTGACCGGTGCTTGGAAAGCGCCCACTGCAGCCACCTTCGGCAGAGCTGAAGAGATGGTCCCAAGTTTCAACGAGTTTGATATCGAGAAACAAAGGTGTTGGAGAATTTCAAACTGGTTAAACTGGGTTGACTTATGTTGTATCACTTCTTGTTGGCTTTCTTTCTGCCACGATTGACATTGTATGTAGTGCTTCATCATGCTTCATCAATGAGAGAGTTTGTGCCAGCACCCAATGATGATCTCTAGACTTCAGTCAAATCAACTTTGTCAATGTATTCATGTCATATTTTTCTATCAGGTAGAATCCGTTACACCACAGCTGTATTTGTTGTGCAGTTTGGGGCTTGGGAAGATGTGCTTGTTGCTGCTTGGTTCTCTCCGACACATTTACTCACTTGGACAAACCTATCTATACAGCATACATTGTTTCTCTTCCTCCTTTGTTTCTGTTTTCAACCTCTGCTATTGACAGCACGGGGACTTACACTCCCAGAACTTTTTCAAGTGAGGTGTAAAAAAACTCATGTTGTTTGGATTTGGTTGTGTGGAATTGCCTAAAAATGGTATCTGATGTCTTTGACGAACAGAAACAGCTCTCTACATGCCAATTCCCAAGCTCAGAGGATTAGGATCCGCCTCATCACCAAAAGTCCCCAGGTCTTGGAGCTCTTCCTGGCACGGCATGTCGCTCTGGAGATCATGTGAATTCATTTAGCATGCTTAGCATAACCACCAAAATACCACCAAAATACCACCAGTCGACTCTGTTGACCGCAGTTGAAACACAACGGCACCATCACGGCTGCCATGACGCTTTCGCTGTGGTCACCTGTCAACGGGTTGTTCGACTTCCTCGTCTTGGTGAGACTTGAACGTTCCGAAGTCCGCTATATTCCAAACATATTCTCACCAAATATGGGATACAGCATAGAATTTAATATGGATTTTTGACAAACAATCTTCCAACATATTCTTACAAACTTTCAAAGGCTGCAGAATCTCCGCCTCCCTCTTTGGAAGTTGCCACCAAGGATTTGCCTGTTTCCTGTCACACAACGTGGCCGGGTTGCGCGCTTGCTAGCATGGAATTCCACGGCAAAGCGGAACTGCGCCGGGCATTGCGAGCTTTTTTGAACGGTCGTTTGTGTAGCTGAGAGGGGCCCTTTTTGGGGCCCTACAAACCTGCGAAACTGAAACCACGCAGCCAAAAGTGCACCAAAAGCGCACCGAAACTTAAAGAACTTCCTCTCAGCATCTAATTGTCACATGTCAGGTACCATCACTACAGCCTACAGGCCTACAGCTCTTATGCTTTCAGTGTTCAAATCATCTGAGTATCCAAAACATCTTCATCTTCTGGACTGAAATCCACCTGCCACACATGTCATCTGTGGGAACAAATCACTACAGTTTTGAACTTCGCTCAGCAGTGCTTCTCACAGGAAACAAAAGGAAACGAATCACTGATGCTTGGATATCAAATATATCAAATGATATCAATCACAGCATGTTTTATGGACTTTTTCAGGTTCGGGATTTGAATGGTTTGCTTTCCCAACCAGGAAACGCCAAACAACATCAAACAACCATGAGCTTTGGGATAGTCCTCTTCCACCGGGGAACTTTGGGGAGCTTCCCGCAAACTTCAGAAACAGTCCGAGCAATCTCAATGCGATTCTACCCAAAACATCCCAAAACTAAAATCTGTTGAGGCTGACTTTGTGCGATATCGATAGGTTTGGAGGGCTTTCAGGAGGTCAGTGCCTGGTAGTTCTCTCCAACTCCTTCATTCCTCTCCCACAGGCAGGTTGCACCGTTGAACGGTTCTGCTCGCACATCGGGTTGAGCTGGCCCGGCTGCCGCAATGACGTAGCTGCAGGCCATACTTTTGAAGAGCCTCCTCTCACGCCCTGTGACTGTGCCAACGGTGCCATCCTTGCCGCAGATTGACCAGACAAATTGGCATTGGCACTTACTGGTATCATACTTATTGTTCTTTGTGTTTGAAAAAAAACATTTTTGGGATACCGGGCTTTAAAAAAAAAAACGAACACGTGGAACAACTGCCTGATTTAGCGTTTTAGCACTTTTGGACCTGTTTCGAGCGATCCTTCGGATGCAAGGGCTCTGCACTGCTCCGTACCAAGGTCAAACTGTAGGCCACGTCGAAGGTGTCGCCCTCGGCGATCTTGAACCCAAAGGTGGCACCGGAGGCCACGGTCTCGCCGCCCACCACCTCCGGAAGGGATGAAGTATGAAATGTTGGGGAAAAATGCTGGGATCTGTGAAAATTTGATAAAATTTGTGTTGGGACCAGAATCTGAACAACTTGGCAAATGTGAGAGAACCTGGAAGCTACTGAGGCAGTACAAAACAGAGATGCCGGATCTTTTTAAAACAATGATCATCCCCCACCCTGTGAAACATAGAATGATGCAACAACAGCTTGTTGGCTGCAAGGCCACACATGAAGTTGCATCCCTATGGATGAAGCCATGATAGAACTCTGAGATTCGCAGCTAGGATTCATATTCTATGAATTTGTCAGCATCTGGGTTTGTTGCTGAAGTTGATCCGCTCCAAAAGAAAGTAAAAAAACGGCACTTCCACTGCTTGGTTTCAACTCTTCTCACCAGATTTACGAGGCCGATTTTCTACATCAACGGGCCATGATATCCATGATGTCCATGGGCCTGGAAGGTAGGAGCAGCGCCCATCTCTGTGCAGTTGGGATGATAAAACAAGGCTTTTTCGTTGATGGACGACAACTGAGCTTTCCATGTTCCCCTAAAGGCGGTCACATTATGCCAGGTATGAATGTCCGCACAGGGGAATGCCCAAGCCATGGGAAGCAAGGCCAAGCGCAAGAACCACATTGCTCCGTCGCAACGAACAAAAAAAACGGCTGATCTGATCTTTCTGATCCTTCCGATCTTGAGCCGCAAAGTCTGATTTCTTCTGAACTGATACTGTGAAATCGCTGAACACATCTCTCAACATGTTGTTATAGTATGTTATAGTAGTGTCACGTGTATCCATGCATTCCATCGTCTACGATTAGAACCCAAGCGTATCCCATTATTGACAGTTATGTCCCTGTTGCTACAATATTGTCACTTAGTGCTCCTACATCCTATTTTAAAAAAAAATCATTGTCCCATTTTGTTAGCTATATCCCACTATACCTCATCATTGTCAGTTCATCCCGGTCCATCCCTTCTGTATCACCACCAGGCTTTGGCTGACACTCGATCCTCAAGTCCACTGGTGAATCCTGATTTTTCCAATTTTCCAATCTAAATCTCGAAAAAGTGGAAAAATTAAGGGGGTGTAGACTTTGGTGTTTTTTTTTGGGGGGTGTATATTCAGTGTATAGCAGCCATATCACCACATCCCCATCGATTTTTTGTCGCCTCCCGGAGCTGGGCGATATCGAGATATCGATTCGAGCGGCAACAGGCGTCCAAAACGGCGAAGTGACAGACCAAAGTCCTGGCGTATTGGTCATAAGTATGTTATGTGGTAAGTAACATAACCATTACAATAACCTTGGGTACATCCTTATAACATTATAATAACATTATAACATAACCACATAATAACTATGGTTATGTTTTGTTATGGTTATCCTTATAACATTATAATAACTTCCGAAATAACATAAGTAACAAAACCATTGATCATAACCATTGATCATAACCATTGATCATAACCATTGATCATAACCATTCGTAACCATAAAGATAGTCATGAATATAGACATGGATAATGATATGAGATGAGATCTGATATGAGTGAAATTTACTGAGATAAGGGATAATTTGGTATATGAAATCATGATCATTGATCATTTTTATCATTGGCATGTTGGTGGATCTAACTCGTAAAAATGAGGATGTGGTTGGTGGATATCTAAGGAAAAAGAAAACAAAACTACCTGGGTTTGTCTGAACATTATAGAAAGAAAATCCAATTTGATTGTTGATAATCATGTTTTTCCTATCAAAACAACTCAATTGCGATTTTGTGGATATATATATATATATGTGTGTATATATATATATCGGACAAACCCAAATCAAAGGATAGCATAATCAAATTGGAAAAAAATGGAGGATGGATATGAATTAGATTCAGATTGATTCATATGTGGAAAAGCGAAAAACGTCAATTGGTTTCTTCAATCGTAAGGGATGTCTGAAACCTCTTTGGTCCTGGAAATGTCTTGCCAAATCTGTGTTTTCGCTGCGCTTTCAATGATCAATGGATTCAATGGATGCGGTTGAATCTTTCAAAAGGCACAAGCAACAAGCAACGTCTCGATACTTCCGCCGTGGAAAATCTCTGCACTGAGTATGTGCCAATCACTCTCATGACGCAAAAAGTTCATGAAATTCCCTGGGTCCCAAGCTTGAAATCCCAAAAGATCTCCAAATTCACCATCTGAAAATCCAAATCTCTGAATTTCAGATACTTCATCATGTATTTCATATGTTTTTTCATGGAACTTCAGATGAATTTCCCTAAGATTTTCAGAGTCCCCCCATATGCCGGTCCTTCTTGGCAACTCCAAGGCCTCTCGCCAGCGCATGGCCAAGCTGCAGGCTCTCAGCGCCGCACCCAGTGCTTCACCTGTTTCAAAGCCAGGAAAAACCATAGGTTTCACCAAGTTTCACCAAATTTCACCATGAAATCCTAATCTTTTCATAGAGCTTTCAATATGTTTCAATGATAGCTTTCATGTTTGGTAATCAATATTAGTGAACATAGGTTTCACCATGGTGAAAACCACTGTTGAAAACCAATGTTGAAAACCAATGTTGAAAACCAATGCTTCATCAATGTTTGGTAAACGACTTCCCACAGATTCTGTGGTGAAGCTCCCACCTGCTCCAGGGCCCTGAAGATTTTTCTGGAGGCCCAGCGCCTGCGCTCGCGCAGCGAGCGCAGCGAGCGCAGCCTCCCAACAGCTGCCGGTGGCACAGGCGTTGATCACCGCGTTACGCCTGCGAAAATCCACCCAATTCATCTCGATTAATGATGGTTTGATGATGTCTTTTTTTCAGACATAGTTCAATGTTTATCTATGTTTATCTATGTTTATCTAATGTTTATAAAACATGATTTGGATTTGGATGGAGTGGCTTGGAATCAGACATAAATCATTCAATCATATCATCATGACTCATCATAATTCACCCCAACTCACAACCTGTTTGTCAAATGCTAACAATGAACGGGGCTTTTTGGCCAAGGCCGGTACACAGGCACAGCATGGCACAGCATGGCACAGCTAGAGGGTCCATGGTCACTTGCGACCCTAAAAAACGGTCACTTGTGACCCTAGAATCCCCGGTCACTTGCGACCCTATTCCTTTAAAAACTCTCACCCCCCCTGCGTTCCACCATGCAATTGTCTCCTTTAAAAACTCTCCACCATGCAATTGTTTGGTTGGGGGGGAGGGATCATTCTACTTACATCATTACTTGACTCAGCCATTTAGGGTTTGGTTGGGGGGGAGGGATCATTCAACTTAGATCATTACTTGACTCAGCCATTTAGGGTTTGGTTGGGGGGGAGGGATCATTCAACTTAGATCATTACTTGACTCAGCCATTTAGGGTTTGGTTGGGGGGGAGGGATCATTCTACTTACATCATTACTTGACTCAGCCATTTAGGGTTTGGTTGGGGGGAGGGATCATTCAACTTAGATCATTACTTGACTCAGCCATTTAGGGTTTGGTTGGGGGGGAGGGATCATTCTACTTACATCATTACTTGACTCAGCCACTTAGGGTTTGGTTGGGGGGAGGGATCATCGTACTTACATCATTACTTGACTCAGCCATTTAGGGTTTGGTTGGGGGGGAGGGATCATTCAACTTAGATCATTACTTGACTCAGCCATTTAGGGTTTGGTTTGGGGGGAGGGATCATTCTACTTACATCATTACTTGACTCAGCCATTTAGGGTTTGGTTGGGGGGTGTGGATTTTAGGTCCAACACTGGTCAACAGAAAGAGTTGATCTAAAGGAACCTAGTGCTAAATGGATCGCAAATGTCTGAGCACTGCGAAAGAGCACTGGCTGCTTTTCCGGATAGCACGCCGAGTAAAGGGTCTAAGCTCCAAGCTGACTTTGGGCCATGACACTGTTGTCAGGCAAATTGCTGTTGCTGATGCCACCAGGGATGCATGGAACTTCAAATTTGCATCCGTTCTCTTTTCTTTATGGCATCAGCATCTTGAGTTCCCAGGGAATCAAAACTATCTCTCTGTTTCTGTTCTTGACGCATAGCGGCCCGCTTTTTCTTAGCCGAGGTAAACAGAGGATCAAAAACAATACTTATCAAACCTTGTTTCAGCAAATCCAAAAGATGATCAAATTTTTGGGGTTTACTAAGTCCATCAGCCAACTGTTGATCAGAGTCCGTCCAACGAACCTGGATTCCAGTTTCAAGTGTTCTTTCACGGATTGACAAAACATCAATGGCAGTTCTGCGTTCTTCAAGTTGAAGTCCACTTGACTGGATCCTACACATGGCATCGTACAGATTTTTGCAATCAAGGATCAGGACCGAAGGAATTTGGCGCATAGCTGCATCCACTTGATGAGGTTCAAATTTTTCCTTGTTAAACCATTCAAGAATAACCTGCTTCAAAAATTCATGGTTATCAGTGGTATTGGAAGCCATCTGTACCTCAGCGGATGTGGATGAACGGGCTACTCTACCAAGCTTTCTACTCTGCCAACTGACCAAAGAGAACTCGCTACGGTGACCATCCAGAAACTTTCGATCTGCTAGAACGGTAAGTTGACCGCCCTGAGAAGAACCATCAGCCCTACAAGACCAACTAGCATCCGAATAACTGACCAAAACAGGTTCTTGAATTTGACTGCTAAATCTCAGGGGCATTTCACAAAATTGCCTCTGCATCCGGATGAGTTTGTTAGCTTCCAACAGATCTTCAATGGACGGGTCATTTTGTTTTCCCTGCAACACGGAAACACTTGCTGCCAGCCATGGACATGTCTGTGTGGCTCTCCAAGATAAGGCACCTAGAGTGGCTCTGAGTTGTTTCTTCTCCTCAATATTGGCCTTAGCTTGAGGATCTTTCTTTCTCTGCGGAGACACACAAATCTCGTTGATGCCGAGGGCATATCGTTCCTGTCCTAGGCAAATTGAAAAATGCGAGTCCTGAGTGATTTCGCAACCACAGAAAGTAATCTGCTCTTCTTGAGCGGACTGCCAGGATCCGAAAGGAAACGCCGAACGCAGTTCTTTAATACGTGATTCAAACAAATCCCCTTTACCACTCACCAACAAATCATCAACATGACAACCAATAAGACCCTGAAGTTCCCCTTTATCATTAAACAGTCTCCAAATACAAGGTTCTAAACGTGAGGTAACCCAACCATGGCTTTGCAAAACGGAATTGAGTTTTTCCATCCAAGCCCTTGGTGCGTGTAACAACCCGTAAATCACCTTTTGAATTCTGAGAACTTCATGTGGTTTCATTCCCAACTCCTCCCTCACTTCATTCGGGGGTTCCCCAAAAAGTTGTTTTTCCGGGGGCAGCTTATCACCGTTGAGAAAAGCAGTCTTAATATCCCCAGCCCAGAGAGGCCAATGGTGAATGGCTGTCAGAGCCAGCATCAAGTTTCGACTTTGAACAGACAAGGTTGGTGAATCACGACTCAGCTGCAATAAGCTAGGGTCTTCGAAACCACGAATAATAAGACGTGCTTTAGGTTTACGTCCTGTGACTTCTCCCTGTTCATCGGTGATAGGCTTGTAGGTTAAAACCCAACGCATGTTCAACAACTTTTGGGGGTCGATACCGTGTCTTGACGCAATGGCAATGGCTTCCCTTTCCAGAAAACTGTCAATCTCACTCCGCATGGCAACACGGAATTCAGCTTTTTCTTCCTCATTGAGGGTCTTGAGTTTTACTTCAGCATTCTTTTTGGGTTTCTGATTCAGAACCCACTCTTGAACTCCATTTCGCCTTTGATTATGGACATCCCTTGGGGCCACAATCATAGTGATTTCAATCATTTCCGAATTTTCAACCATGTAATTCACAGGAATGGGCGTCTCCTCCTGATCAACAGTGGGCTCACCAAAACAATCATCAGGCATCCAAGAAAAACAACCACGATTAATCCCATCCCGTGCATGGTTGGTCCTGTTCTTCGCAGGAACGCGTGCACAACCAACTGGAAAGCATTCCTTTTCGGAATCAAACAAAACCGGCTCAGGCTCAGAAGAGAGAATTTCGCCAATGGTCATGAAGGCATCTTCGCCAGTGGGTAGACTCTCATTCCACCGCACGGAGTCAGACTCATGATCCCGGTGTCGGCTTCGTGATCTCATCCTTGCTGGAACGGCGGGACTGGCTCGAAGTCGGAGGGCAGTACTGCCGTGTCCTCGAGGTGTTGGATGCGATTCTGGTGTCCGGCCACATGATTGCTGAGAACCATGACTGCCTCCTGGATCTGGCGATTGTGATCCTTCAGCTCCAGAATCGTTTGGAACATTGTCTGCATTTCGGAGTGCATCTCCTGCATGCGCTTCTCGAGGATCTCGATCTTGAGCATTGAGTCCTGGTTCCCGGCTGGGTAGGGCGAGCCGCTTTGACTGGACATGGGTATCAAAGTCTCGCCGGGCTTCTTCACTGACTTGGGCTCGGCTGTCTTGGCTTGCTGACTGGCCACGAGCTCGTGACGCTCCAGATAGATCAGCAGGGCCAAAAACTTGGGGTTCTTTGGATGATGCTCTACGAGCCACCGCAGGTATGTGAAGTCCTCCTTCTTTTCCACGATGTCCACTAGCTTCACCCCGGAGTACTTCCCGTGCTTCTGCTCCATCTCTCCCAGCTGCTTGAGATCCATCTCGCGGTAGTTCTGAGTGAGGTTCTCGCTGGATTCCACTTCCGGATGCCGGTTCTTGTCCTGCTTGGTCTGCAGGGCGCTGAGGAGGGCAGAGGTGTTCAAGGACATTCTGCTTACCACGGAGTCGGCGGATGGGCTCTAACGTGCGGGAAAGTTCTTCTTGAGCCCGAACGAGTGAGCCATCAAGGTTTGGATCTTCATCAACAGCTTCATCAGCATCAGGTTCAACCAGCTGAGATTCACTAGTGATATCTCTATACTGTTGGCTCTGTCGAGCATTTTCAAGCATCGAACTTGGAGTTTCTTTGGATCCAAACAAGTGACTCAAATTTTGAACTTCATGTGTGACCACACGAAGTTGCTCTGGTGCACAGCGGTAGAGAGTGGTACCATGAACAATCCAAACAACAGAACCAGCACTTTGATTCCTTTCGGGGTCGCCCGTTTTTTCAACACAAACAACTTTAGCGGGCCCAAACCAATAACTCTCATACCTATTCCCATGACCCCTACCCCGTCTGAAGAAGTAAACCAACTGCCCGGTTTCAAACTCTTGTGCACGACGAATGTTTGCGTGTGCGGCTCTTTGTATTCGAAGCTTGGCATCCTCCCTAAGGAAAATCATTCTAGCTTCGTTTTTACGTTTCATGTGATCCTCAAAAGACACCTGTTTAGACCTCTGTTGCTGAACGACAGGATGTTCTCCATTCTGCAAAAAGGACCCCACACGATCACAATTTTGTCCGAAAGCCCATTGATTTGGTGCAAAGCCACGAAACGTATGCAGCTCATTCTTTGCTGCCAAAGTGGCGTCAAACGTCTCTTCCACGTCGACATCAGCGGCCGTTTCAAGGGCCAAGAGACTTGCATTTTCTTTCACAGTCTCCAGGTGTTTCGAATGCTTGCCAAGTTGCCAAGGCGCTTCTGCAGCGATGGCTTGCACTCGAATCCCCTGACCCTCCAGCCACTGAAAAAGGTCCAACTTGCGGAAAAAACCTTCACAGTCATACCGTATTCGTTTGGGTTTTGGTAAGCACCGCAACCAACACGACCGAAAACACATTTTAAATTCTTCAGCAGTAATAGATTCTTGGGGTTTTTCACC